GAATGGGGGGGGGGGGTCTACCGTATGGTTTTGCCAAAAAGGAGGTATTCCTCTCACGTTAGATTCGTTAGTTGACTGCGCCATGATAAAATGTTACTTTGTTGTAGCTAATTCTAAATTAAAACTATTAAAAAGAATAAGGATTTAAGATGAATTAGTCGGTAAGTTAAAACATTAAAACAATGAGAGATCATTCTCTCCGCCGGAGAGAATGGCCAATGAAGGTCATATCTGAGTGACCAGTTAATTAAACTAATATGTTTTGCAGTAATTGCAAAACATGATGTAAATCACAACACACCCAATAACCAGTGTTTAAAATTTGCTTCTTGCCTAGAAACACTCGAAAACACGCTAAAACCACTCTTGGACACAAATTTATATTAACTTGGAACGAATAATTTTTCTGGTGTTTGAGAACAAAAAAAAACAATCAAGTTAACGGGCAACACATAAATCAACATTTAGCTGAATTCTAGAGCAAAAACGGTCGCTTCGCGCAGTCGGCTGGGTGCGTCCCTCAAAAAAATGGCGAAATAGTCTCGTTACGTTTACCAGCACGTTTTTCAGCAGCCTTTTTTTGAGTTGGCTGGGTGCGTCCCTCAAAAAAATGGCGAAATAGTCTCGTTACGTTTACCAGCACGTTTTTCAGCAGCCGTTTTTCAGCAGCCAAACTCGAACTATTTCGAAAACAAAACAGGCAAATTTCCAAAAAAACAGCCGAAAAAGCCGTTTTTGGGCGCTTTTTGAAAAATTTCGACAAAAAAATCGCGTTTTTTTTGGCGCGCGCTCGCCCTCAAAGTTAGTATATATTGGCACCAAAGGCACCTTTAGAAAAATTTTAGGGTCGGTCGGCCAAAAATGGATTTCTTAAAAAGTATCAAAGGGGGGACCCTTTGGGTCGGCAGGGGGTCGAATCCCTGAGGGGGGGCGTCCGCCCCCTCCTCTCTAAATCCGCCCCTGATTTCATCAATTAACACCCAAAATTTTGAAAGGGTAAATTTTGCAAATTGTACAAATCTAAAATTTCAAATTGTAAAAAAACTAAACTGCTTATTTGTACATGTCTTGCTTAACGTTGGTTGAAAACTCGGAGACTTTACCTTCGCGGAAAAAATAGGAGAGCCCCTAACTTTATCTGAAATTCCCATAGATTCAGATTCATTATTTAACTCGAAGATTCTTTCCTTGATGACAGAAAAAGACCAAGCTCTAAAGCTTTTGATAAACACCATCAGAGGAACAAATTGATCTACACTCCACGAAATTCGGCGATCACTTCCATAAAATCTATTGAGACTGAAGAAAAACTGTTCAAAATGAATCAAAGCAATTACAAACTTGAATTCTTAAACCTGGTCTTTCAATGTCAAATCCCTACCTATTTTGCCGGTGTCAGAAAAAATAAGACTAAGCCTTGATGGATAGCTCACAATTCCTTCGACAAAAAAAACTTTTTCAGCAGCCTCCTTTCATCCTCGAATCAGCCCTGAATCAAACATAGATTATTCAGAAAAATCACTGAGAGAAAAACGGGAACCCTACAATCGGGAACTTGGAGACAAAATAGTGAGCTCATCGGAAACTTTAATTAAGTTTTCGAAAGGAGAATTCTCAAGAAAACTGGAATCGCTTTCTCTGACTATAACGGAAAAACAGGTCTTTCAAAGGGAATATTACGTTACCGTGCCCAGCTTGCGTGCCCAGCTCGTGTCTCAATCAAATCTCTCAGCTTGTGTTTTTCCACTCCTTCGGACTGGACGACCGAAAACTGAGACACGAGCAAAAGTGGCAATCTGGCCATCAAATATGGGTTCCAAAAGTCCGACAGTATCAAGGAAAGTGATCCATCAAAAGAAAAAGGGGCAGGATAAACTCAAGTGACACTTAAGCCAAACAAAAAAACGTCAAAGCCTTCCACGGGTTACTTAGCAGAGGATGATTCTTATTTACATACATTTTTTCGGGTTTGTCCGAATGGAAATAATTTTTTGATTGTTTCCTCTGCAGAGATGTTGCTAGAACGCACTTTTTGTAGAACCTCGACTTCTAGAATTCTTTAAAGATATTGCAGAGTCTGTTAAGTTGTTAACCCTAATATCAAAAAAAAAATTGGACTGAGACGGTTTCTCCGACGGATTGCTCAATTTCGATCAAAAAGGAGAACAACTCAAAAAGCGATACACATAGGACGTCAAAAAACGTCAAGATGAAATCCCAATGGAAACTGTCAGTGAACGTCGCTAATCATCTACTTGTGCCAAGATAACCACGAATTATAAAACTTCACTGTGTACGAAGTGAGCAGCCCCACCCGAGGAGGTTGCTGTTATACTTTTTCTCGTTCTCGTAGAAAAACCGGCCCTCCCTCCAATTTTTGACGATCGGGTTGTTCTAGATGTTTTTGATTCTATCGGACAGCAGGGAGTTCTATGAGTTGCAGCCTAGTGGTTTTGAACTCCAGCCATTCAGAATTAGAACCTACTACAACAGGCACGTCTTCAGAACAAAAACAAGTCCTAGTGGCCGACTCAGTTGAAAGCATTTTCGCAGATAGATGGGGTTCCAATTTTCATGAAATCATTCCCGAATTAACCGAAACTAGTCGGCCGAATATAAATCACATTCGGATACACAAACGGACAATGTCATTTGAATACAAAAAAGTTTTCGGGACCAGTTTGTGATAATTCACGGAACTCATTTCTGGATTGGTTCAACTAAATTTTAATAAATGCCAAAAATTTCAAAGGGCAGTCCTAACATTCGGAGCTTCATTGATGGGAGCAGTCTTTTTCTTTCATAGCGGTAGTTGTGCAACTGTAGTTGGAATGGCCGGTATCATTTGCAGAAAAAAAGGTTTTTTTGTTCCAATATTTTGCAAATTGTTTCTTGACTAACTTTACTGGAAGCTCTCTACACTTTATACCATAAGTTTTTTTAGTATTTCGTTAGACATTTGAATATAAAGCTGGGAGTTCTCTTAACTGTCATTTTCTATGACATATCTTTTAAAATTTACTTTTTTTTGCCTATTTTGGGTACAGGAAGGGCAAAAATGAGTTTTAAGTTTAAAAACCAGGTCATGGCTTTCAAAGTATTGAATTTTTAACAGGATAACAGTTATCGACAATTATTCATCAGATGTTTACTGCTTTTAATTAGTACGAAAACCAAAAAAGTATCAGAATAATTTTTTCTCGACATTGAGTTTCGGATAAAAATTTCGGAATTAAAATTTGAAAGAGTTTTAGAATGTTACCAGTACACATAACCCTTTATACTGTTGTGGATTTGGGCTGATGTTTCCTGCCTGAAAATATATCTGCCGTCTCTTGTATAGAATAGAGCACGAAAAAAAAACGTTTTTATTTTGTGGTTGTTTTCATATACTTTTTTGTCATTCCAATTACTCTTTGAACCTTTTCAGCTTAAAGCGCATCAGTTTGGAAATCAAAAGCGTTTGCTTCTTATTCTTTCCCACTTTTTAATTGGCGGTAATTTTGCTATATGTATAATTAACTCTTGAGAAAGAAGTCTTCAACTTCTTTTCTGGCAACCCCGATTCCTTTTCAGCCAGACCATACTGTCTCGAATGACACTTGAAACCAAGGCTGCTCAAAAATTAATTTTCAATTGAAAAATTAAATTTCAGCGAAAAATCAATTAACGGAAATGGAGAAAACTAAAAATCCATTAATGGCCATTATGGCCATTAATGGCGCTCAGTTCGAATGTTTCTCAGTTTTCTTCTTGAAGAGCGTCATTGACGGTTTCAACATTCCACATTCGTGCATTGGCTTTGAGAAAGAGTTGTTCTTCGAGATGTAAAGGGTTGGGCGGCATGACTTGCTGGAACCGCGTTGTAAAAAATCTGCCGTCAGCTGCTCAGCTCACTTTGTTTGGATTTCCACTTTCCACCGCAAAAACATCTTTCTCTGAAGTACCGGAAATGGCCTTTAATTTTTCGAATTAAAAATCCATTAATGCCATTTTGAATATTAAAAAATCCATTAATGGCCATCCATTAATGGCCGTTAATTTTTCCCCCCATTAATTTTTGAACAGCCTTGCTTGAAACAACTAGACACAGGAAAGACTGCAAGCGCTTACAGGTTGCAGCTCATCAATTATTTTTATTATCTCTGTATTCTTACCACATTCCCATTGAAAAAATATTAAGCGGACGTTTACACAATAAATAAACATACTTTTTTTTACTACATGTTTGTTTATACATTTACTGTTCTATATAATAGCCCTTATGGTATGTATTTATTCGTACACTAACCAGGAGAAAAAGAACAAGTGCAGAGTGTCTGATCTCAAGGCAAACGTACCTAATGGGCGAACATTTTTCTTTTCTCATCATAATCAAAAGTCTTACAACTTTTCGAAAATTTTGCGCGAATTATCACGTTTTTTAGCCGATTCCTGAATACAGTATTCTGACGGGGCTAATATAACTTTCTGCAGTTGGTCCTTCTCCCATGAGGGATCCGTTCTGAATGCAGTTAGATAGAATGAAAAGCACGTAAGAACTACATACAACCGGAGTAAATTTTTGGTATACCAATGGCACAGGGACTTGATGTGAGCAGAAAAAACACGGACCAACTTGGCGCAAATTTACAGATGAACTCATAAGCCGAAAAACAAAACTTTTTGCTCATTAAATGGTACTTGTAAAAATTATCACATACAATTGACTCCGACGAGTGGAAACTTATGAGAAATGATGGAAACTGATGAGAAAATTTGTGAAATTTGACTTAAGGCAGCTTCTGCTAATTGCACGTACCCTATAAAGAGCATTGGCTTATAGAGCTTTTAAAAATATAATATTCAACAACATAAAGATAAAGCAGCGTATTTGAGAAGAGTTTTTAAATTCATTGAGTGTTGGAAAATCAGCTGAGAAGGAAAAAAGGGAAGAAAGTAAAAGTGAAAAAAGCGAACATTTAAAAAAATGTTATGGAACAGCTACACGTTATACTGTATTTTATATAATCACATGGATAAAATTATATTTTTGAGACGGGACTCATCATACGTTAAGAAAAAACGCACGGTAATGGGAATTATATGAAAGGATGGTAGGAGAAAAAAATAATAAAGCGCTTTATTCAACACCAGAAAGAGAGAGAAAATACAAATTAACGGTATTATAAAGCAACCATTTACCTTTGCCATTTTCCTTTTACCATTTTACTTTACAGGACGTCTTTTCTGCAGTTGGTATCGAAAAATGCGTTCAGCGTAGTCGGCATTTTTAGCCCAACTAACTGCCTTTCTACCCTTCGTCCTAAGGGGTACAAGCTACACACAAAAAAGACATCAGATACAGCCCCTATCGAATATCAAAAGAGCCCAAATGGCAGGACGCGTATGTGGTACAGTCATCACACGTGTGAACACAAATGACAGAAAAAGGTCGTGGCGAGAATGAATAAAGTGAAGGTGATACAACTAATGCGGATTGAAAGAGGGCTGCAGCCACTTTTATGGAGAGAAATACCTACAGGAAAGGGCAACAGCTCACTATACACTGCTTGTTAAAACTAGATAGACATTTCGTAACTTTTTCCTTGCCTTTTCCTTTCTAATTTATAATACCCACATCACATTACCAACAGTCCAATCTGAGCTGAGTTGTTCTGCGTGGCTACATGATTGCACGGGAGAATTCGGTAGTTGCTACAGGTTATACGCGACCAATTGCGACGAAAAAAGAGCTAACAAAATATCTAACCAGCTAAAATCAAGCAACAACTATTACCATTCATTCCTCATCTGAACGAAAAAAGCCCAATATCAGTGGCATTTTAAATACTTTCAGCTACTTATGGACCTTCACACGGTGGTAGTTTTTCATTGCTATTTGTAAGAATAAAAATTACTGCAGTTTCTTACCTCTTTCTTTTACCTTGTCTGATAACAATACAAAGAAAGGAAAGCTAATCGAACAAAAAGATAAACTATGACTGCTAAAAAGCGGTGATAAATTATGACTGACAAGTTATTAATGATAACACCTATTTTTTTTCACGCTTTGTTGGTATCCCTAACTGATTCAACTTAGCTTCATCGACCAATTCAAAAAAGTCTGCTATTACAAGTTATTTTCTCGAGCGTTCCCCGAGCACTTTAACGTTGCTTCCCAACAAAGTTTCAAAGGCAAAGAGATCTTTTTGAAAATTGATTGAAGTTTCCAGACTGCTAGTTGAACACAAAATGGCATTTTCTGTAGCTATCTGCGGCTGTTAACAAGATCCCCCTTCATTCCTGACAGCTCCAATTCCATCTATCATTCATGTCAGAACCTTTAATTAACTGTACTCTTTCCTATTTGATGACCGGTCATCTTTTGCAACCACGGGTAATTAAAAGTGTCTGAAAATTGCGTAATTTTTTGAAGACAAAAACGCACAGGAAGCAAAGGACTTGAGCAGCAACGTGTAGGCATTACACAAAGCGGATACGTCAGCTCAGTTATAAACAACAAACAAGACAAACAGACAATCCAGCAAAAAAAAACGTTTATTTCGTTTTCCTTCTATTACCACTGGGTGCCATTTACCTTTTCTTTTTGCAAAAGAAAATATAATAGCAGAAAAAATGCAAAATATGAATTCGTTTCTCAATTGATTGCTTTCTTTGGTTGTAAGCGCACTATGCATTTGATCCCAACCAACCATTTATTTTAATTTAATTAAATTCATATCTCATAATCCAACCACGTTTGAATCCGTTACCTGAAAAGGAGATAGAACCCTTTGGTGTGAAAAACCTTTCTATATAATCACACCGCATTTATGGTTGTTTCAAAAAGTATACTCGAAAGCTTCTACACTTCAATGAGGATTGACTCAAATAGTTTTCTTTAAACTGTTTTTTTTTCTTTAAAATTTTCACGGAGTCTCTTTCTTATCGCTTTCTGGCGGACACTTTGATTCAAATAACCAGAGCGTATTATTCAACGTAAATCGAATTCTTTTATGTTCGTGAGCTTTGCTCGCTATAGCGCTACCTTCTGGTCACTAGCTGGTTATGATATAACATCCGACTAAAAGCATAACTAGTCAAAATAACCCATTTTAACTGTGTACTTGTTGAGCATCATCGATATTTGCTGGTGATAGTTATAAACCGTGAACACTGGGCGTGAACAATCGAATGGGCGTGAACAGTTCCTCGGCACACCCGCATGGCTTTTCAGCCTCCACCTCTTCTCCCCGACTACATAGCAGAGCCAAATTCGAGGTGAGAACACAGGAAAAGAACAGCTATGTTCTGAATCAATTCTCAGTCAGTTGAAGTAAGTCGATTTAAGCAATCAAAAGTAACTAACCAACATATACAGGAGCGGATCTAGGATTTTCTCGCAGGGGGGGGGGGCGGATTTTCAAAAACTTTTTGAAAGTTTTGACTTTTTTTGTAGCTAGACCAAATTTAGTGTCCGACCGGTCCAGAACACTATGAACACTATAAAGAAATTTAATTTTAAAAAAATAGGTTGAAAATCCGTTTGTGGACAGCTTTTAAAAAAAAAATTGGCTAAAAGTCTTTTTTTGGCGCTCGCTCCCCTTCAAAATTAGTATATATTGGCGCCAAAGGCACCTTTAGAAAGTTTTTAGGGTCCGTCACTAAAAATAATTATTTCAAAATAGGATATATATATATATATATATATATATATATATATATATATATATATATATATATATATATATAGCGCAGATTTTTCCAAAATCACAATTGAAATTAAAATTGTGACGCTTGCGATTAGCCAGCGTTATCAAACCGAAATAAAGAATTTTTTTGGGTTAACAATTTGTTTAGAAGAATCACTTGAATAAATTGGTACCTTGGCTCATAATGAATTCAAATTTCTAAGCGTTTCCACCACACATAGTCTGGAGGTAACTAATACACCTAGGCAGCAAAGACCCGAGTCTAATACACCTAGGCAGAGTTCAAATCTGAGCAGGGCGTTTTATTTTTTCAAACGTGAAATATTCCGTTGTTTGCTAAGTTGTTTGCTAAATATTTGCATACCCCCCTATAGTCTCTTTTTACTTAAGCCCTCTGTCTACAGCATTCGAAAAAAGCCTGAGAGGGGAAAATTTGACCCATATTTTTGATTTTTTTGTTTTCTCGAAAAATACTTTTCACAATTCTTAGTTTTTTTTTAAATTTCAAAAACATTTTTGAAAAACTCCTTGCATAAACGGCGACACCCAACTTTTTTTACAAGTAGATTTATGGCGCTCGGAAAAGTCAAAATTTAGATTTTTGACCGTTTTGTGAATCTTTTTGACTTTCTTGAAAAGTAGCCTCTCAAATCTGATTTTGTGGCTTCAATGGAGAAAATTGGTAGCGGAAAGCTCCCTTCTGTATTAGCGGCCGCTTTAAAAGTTTTTTATACAAATAGTTATTGCCCTCGGAAAAATCAAATTTCAATTTTTTAGCCTTTGTTTTTAATTTTTTGAATATTCTCGGAAACTACCTTACATTTTCTGAAAATTCGGTTTCAATTCAAAACACGGTTTGAGGGAAGCTCATTTGCTTATGTGATTACGACTGAATTTTTCTGAGGCCAAAAGTTGTTGCCCCCGACTAGTCAATTTTTTTTTGATTTTTTAACATTTATTCAAGTTTTTGAACTTTCTCGAGAACTACACTCTCAAATCGATGATTTTGGGTTCAACCGAAACTTCAGTTGGCGTGAATTGTTTCTGTATCAGCTTCTACGCTTTTTCTTCACACAAAAAGCTTTGATTCTCGGAAATACCAAGTTTTTGTTTTGTTGACCTTTTCTGGACTTTTCTTGCGAACTCCGAAATAAAAGGTTTAATCGAAACAACAGATTGTTGAAAGCCTGCCTTCATAATTGGCTTTACTCAGATTGTTTGAAAAAATTATTGCGTTCAAAGAAATAAATTTTTTGAAATTTTGACAGTTTTTTGAAAACTTCTTGGCTTTACGCGAAAATTACCGTGCAAATTCTCAGGTTGTTTTCAATGAAGAAACTCGGTTTTGGGAACTTTCTCTGGTTAAGCGGCCTCAACTTGGTTTTTGCAGAAAAATTTGGGACTTTTGGAAAGTCTTTTAATCGTTTTTAGACTTTTTGACCGTTTTTTAGAAATTTTTTAAATTTTTTCAAAAAGTACCTTTTCAACTTAGAGGAAAAATCAATTGAAAGAACCGGTTGCGATAATTGTTTCTGCAGAAGCGGCGAATATTTTTTTTTGTAAGAAACTTTTATTTCTGTGGGAAAATTGATTATCTCAAGATTGTACTCTCTCACTTATTTTAGTAGAGAAGCCACTATGGTTTTGGACAAAACCCATCTTTTGAAATCACAATTTTGGTGCCGCATTTGTGTGTAAAATCGCAAGTGGTGCGAAGCTCCACTTCGCCTATGTGTTTAAAAATATCAATCAAGTCAATTTTTGCATTTTTTGTCTAAATTTACTTGTTATTATTACAAAAAAAGCAAAAGAGTAGCACAAAAAATACAAGCGAAAGCAGTATTTATAACTTCAAAAAAAGTAATAATTAAAGTAAAATTATACTTAAGATATCAGCCTCTCATCAAATTTTGTCTAATTCAATCTCAAAAACGCAAAAGTTTGACCAATTTATTGTCTTAAGAAAACTTTTTTCAATATGCAATTAATGGACTAAGGGGCTTAGAAATGATACCACTCTTGACACTCGACGAGTTCCTCTAGAAGTAGTAAATAGTGCTTGTGAAAAATTTTGACCTTACACAATAGATCCTTCTCACTCTTCGAAAGTGGTCGAATCAACAAGACAAAAACCACTTCGAAAAAAGTATTCTTTTAGACCAGAGTCGAAAAAATAATTCTAAAAACTGTCGACAAACACATCAAATAAAATTTTTATACATGTGTCTCAAGTGAAGTCCCAATGGAGGAAAAGAATTTGAGAAACACAATTGCCAGAGCTAAATTAGCTTCGGAACAAAATTCATCGAGTGGTAACTAAAAAGACAATACTTGGGTAGACGCCGGTTAAGCCAAAAGTGAAAGTCAAAAATGAATGATTTTAAATACCAATTATCTACCCCAACTCCGAAAGTATAAACGCACGCATAAAGATTTTTTTCCCTTCAAACGACTTTTGTATATAGATACTGTATCTATTAAACGTGGATAATGTACTATTAATGTAGATACCATCTAACGGCGGCACCATTAGATGGTGAAAACATCTGAGCCTTTAAGAAAAACGCAACTTGTGGGAACTAAGCCGAAAAAATGAGCAGAAGCACGATAGTCCCAAAAGTGATATTTTCTCAGAACACAAAATTTCCAATGTGCAAAAAATACACGTTCTGCTCGGATTCGAATGTCTGGTCTTCATCTTCCAGTCATGGGCGCTACCTCTAAGATAAATGTGTAGAAGTTTTCATTGATTTGAATATTTTATGAAGCACAAAATTTTGTTAGCTACGTTGTTCGGGAGAAAAAACCACTCAAACTTGCATGTACTATAACTGCTATAATCAATACTGAAGCTTTTTTGTTGGACCATAAAATTTGGGGATTTTTTATGGGCACAACTCGACTGCTTTGCCACCAAAATGGTTCCTTTTTTGCGCTATCATAAGAACTCCATTTTTTTTACAAACAGTTCAAATTTAAATTTTGAAAAATCTTTAGCATCTACATCTGCATATTTTGAGGGGAAACGCACACTGATAATGCAAACTTTTGAGCAAATCAAGCAGACACAATACAATCTGAAACTGCGATTTTTAAAATGAGAAAATGTCTTGTTTCCAAAAAGTCCAGTTCCCCGCCAAACTATAGCCACTGACAACAATGGAAGTCCCAAGAATGATAGCAATCTTTTCGCCGAACGGGTAAAACTAGGTGCTCTAATTTGATAAGCTGATGAATTAAGCTGGGAATTCCTGAAGAGTCATGTTATTTGAGTTTCGAATGGAAAAAAGTCAAGTACCCGGTAGCAATAACGTTGCTAATCGCCGGAGTACAGCAACTCGATGTCCTGTAAAACAATTTGAATTTGAGCTTACTCGTGAATGGTCTAGAAAAAGTTCTGCCCCGAGGTTTTCAACTGCTGTTTTGAGGGAGCTCCCAAATAAGTGGTCACAATGAAATAAGTCGTTTTTTGGAAAAAATTTAATGAAAACTCCTGTGCTCCTGGGCATGTCTGTTGACAAAAATTACCCTCTTTCGTGCAGTTATATCAGTTTTAATAATTTAAAATCGGTGGAGCAAACTTGAAGTTTTTCAGATATTTGCTACAAGACTTTGGTAACCTTCTGCGCTTCATTGGTTTCAAAAATGTTCAAGTTGCGTATACTTAGAAACTAAAACACATTGCAAATCAAATATATTACTTTTACTTTTTAAAAAATGCAGAGGTATTTCTAATCTGAACGTTTTCTAGGCGTCAGTTTCCATGCCTCAAATTTACAACCCCAATGAAGATTTCTCCGCCTGCTCAAGTATCAGTGGAACAGGTACAAGCAACGGGAAAAACTCTAGCCAAAAGGGGAGCGGGGGTCGATTGTCCAAGAAGGCGTTCTATTCCAGCACTTTGCTGCAATCTCTAAACTGGAAACTAATTGGCCAACATCCTCACAAGCATCGCAACAGAAAACACAGCAGAGGACAAGAGCCCACTTCGATATCTTTGAGGTATTTTGAAAGAGGCAACAACGACAACAGTCCTTCAGGTATAAGACAGTCGGACCAAGGAGACGGATGTGGAAATCCAGGGGCGGATCTGGAGGAAGACGACGAAGTAGACAGCAGACCCCTGGAACTGCAGATGGACCATCACAACCAACATCAAAACAAGAGCGGATCCAGGAGCAGATCGGACAGGAAACCAGAAAGCTATGCTGCCAGGAAGTCATACTCGTGCTTTAACCTAGCCAATCAGAGCCATCCTAACAACACTAATAACACCGTGATCAACAACAATGCACACACGTCTAAATCTCGCAAAGATAAAGAAAGTGTTCGAGAAAAGGAAAATGCAGTGCGTAAAGTGTCCCACGGTGAAATGTTCAAGGTCACCGCGACAACATCTAACAAATCAGTTTCATCATCATCTAATATTGAGCAGCTGAAGACACAACAGACGAGACCCCTATCCTCCCACCCACAGCTTTTCGGAGGCAGTAAAGGCAGTCGGTCTGCAGTCACGGGTGGCAGCGCAATTAACCTCTCCTCGTCCTCATCTTCGTGTTTCTCCTCAAGTGGGGGAGGGGGAAGGAAAAGCAGTAACAGTATGTGCTCAAATCAATAAACACAAATAAGATACATGCGTCATAGGCATTAATAATTGACGTCAGAACCAATTCAAATCCACTTATATGACATTTATAGCTCTTCCAGATTCTTTTTCAGTCTATCGACGGTCTTTTTTTAAGAACTTCCACCAATCCATTCTCAGTCGATATCATGTAATTTTTTTGACTATTTGGGTTCCTTCTCAGCACGTATTTCAAGTTTTGATGGGAGTTACTTTTGTGGGCTTTGGTTTTCAGGCAGCAGCAGTAACATATCGCCTAAGAAGACGGTGACGATCACTGCCTCCACGAGTGAACTGCTGTCGTGTCTGGGCAGCTACCTGTCAGTCAAGTGCGTGCGACTCCGAGGAACTCTGCAGAATGGGGAGGCGGCTGTGCTTTGGCTGAAGAGTGTCGATCGGGCTCTGCTGCTTCAGGGCTGGCAGGACATTGCATTCATCAGTCCCGCTAATGTTGTCTTCGTCTTCCTTTTGCTACGACATATGGTCGACGAAAAAATAGGCACGTCTGTGGCATTCCTCGGCTGTAACTTTACAAAAAAAAAACTTTTTTTTTCTCACGAGTTCACCTTCTTATGTTTCTTGGTATGACAACTAAAATCTTTTCACCCAATTTTTTTTTCGTACACAAACACTACAAGTACATAACAGTTGATTTGCCGAAGGCTTACACGAAAGCGCTGAAATTGAATTCTGACGTCCCTGTAATTTGCATGATTCGCTCTTGCAAGTTGGACAAAATTCGTCAAAACCAAGAAACTAACATTATTGCCCCGAAAGTAATCAAACTACTTACTCGGTGCTACTCGGTCTGATAAGCCAACAACCTCGTTCTATTTTGTCAAATTTTGTGGCTTGATGTGTCATTTCACATCCCGAGTCGAGATTTTAGGCCCAATTTGAGCGCTTTTTCATTTCGGTGAATTTGCCCGCGCTCAGACTCCGTTTGTATTTTCATTAGGAAGTGAGCGTGAGTTGCAGGCAGTGGTGCTTACGTGTCTGTACATGAGCTACAGTTACATGGGCAATGAGATCAGCTACCCTCTCAAACCCTTCCTAACCGAGGCGGACAGGGAGAGCAAGGAGCGCTTCTGGGACAGGTGTGTGCGCATCATCAACTGCTGCTCGTCTCACATGCTCCGGATCAACAAAGAGCCAGCCTACTTCACCAAGATATTCACTGAGCTAAAAGGTGTGTGAACCTAACTGTTATGCTAGTTAGTTAAAGTAACCATATGAACAGTTTGCGGTCTAAAAACAGAATGTTTTTTTAATGGAGATCATAACGAAGTTCAAATTGGGACTGCGACTTTTTTCTGGTACATAAATGCAAATTAAGTCGGATTAATTCAAATAAAACCTTTTGTGATTAAATTTACATCGAATTCACAAACATAAGACAATATAATTTGTTTGGTGAATTTACAACCCAATTGCTAATTGAAGAAAAATGACTTTTGGGACGTTTCCTTCATTTTATGGCGGGTTTTACATAAAGTTAAGCCGCCAAATTCGTCTGATCAACATTTGATTTAAATGCTTTAAAAGGAACTTTTGATCAAATTATGCTCTTTGAAAGGTAATAATCAAAACAACATTCCACTCCGAATTGGCCATTTCATTTGAATTAGCTGCTTGCATAAAATAAATTCTTCGGACTTGATTAGCTCTCTGAAGGCAACATTCTGAAATGGCACAAAATTGATGTAATGGAATGCAAGAACATGATGTGATGTTTTGAAAAAAAAGGGATCAAGGCGTGAAAAACAGTGATGTGTCAGCTAAAACCAGGTTTAAATTACACTTTTGAGAACAACTGTTTGATGCGGCTGTATAACTTTTCTTTACATTAATTTCAAAAAAAAAATTTCACGCTTTATTCGCAAATTATCCATTCCGATAACAGGGTTTTAGTTTTAACATCAAAATTCTGCCTGTTGGGAATCTCCATTTTGAATTTCAATTGGGCTTTAGACCATTCGAAAGGTTACCTAGAAGTTTCCCTCGAGAGTTGAAGATTTTTCTCCAGTTTTTCAGGTAGTGAACTAACCAAAGTTTGTAAATTGATCTGATTGATTTTGAGTAATTTAGGGTTAAATCTCATAAAATGACCGAGCTCCCAAAAAGTCTGTCTCTTCAATTTAAATTTGAGACGGAAAGCCGTCAACAATAAAGACCCTGTTTAGCTAAAATTTTGTAAACCTCAGGCGAATTCATTGGAATTGAAAACTTTTTGGCATTGGAAACTTTTATTTCTGTATCAACTTTTTAAAAGACTATAAAGCCGTTACTTAGCTAAATTTTCTGCGCCGAAGGTAATTTTTTGAATGAATAGGAACAAAATGGCCGTTTTTGGGACCATATTGGAAATTTTCGATCAAAATTTTTTTGAGCGCGTGCTGTTCCCTCAAATCAATACTGAAGCTGAGGCGCTTTAAGAAAACTTGTTAAAGTGTTCGAACACGTGACTGCCCACGCCAAAATTATCCACAACTACTTTATCTGCAATTGATTTCTTCAATTGTAGGATGACCTGAAGAGTAAGGATACAAAACTATTTGTATACTGTGTGCAAAACATCAATTCCGAAACAATTTTTAATAAATAACATGAAAGCTTTACTGTTTGGGAAAACTCCATTTTATGCGAATTCGGAACTAGGACATCCGAGAGGGTACAGAGATGTTGCCCCTTCGAGTTTAAGATCTTCTCGTGTTTTTTAGCTTATAAATTTTTCCAAAGATCGTTTAATAAAGAAAAAAGTTTATTTTGAAGCCTGCAAAAAAAATTGTTCCTATTGATTTTAAATTTGTGCAAAAACTCTTTTTTTTCGAACTTGTCATAGAGAATCTTTCAAAGCCCAGAGAATTGTTGAATTCCGATATTCTACAGATAGAAAAAAAAAATAGAACAAAAATTCTACAGCATAAATCGAACGTCTTGCTTGAAGTCTAGAAAAAAAGACGGCTCGATGAAAGTAAAAACGCACGAAACATCTTGCAAACGAATGTTTTAAGGGAAGACGCATCTAAAAAGCTGAGATGAAGATCCACCCATTGCTCTATCTACCATTAGATAACGACAAGAAGCGTATATTTGCTCAAAAATTAATCAAGGTTCAAATCTTTCGGATTAGTTTTGCGGAAATCTGGGACTACTTCAATGAAGTATTCATCAGAAAAACAAAATTTAGAATGCCACTTTTAAATAGGCGAATAAGCGAAAAAGAAAGCCGTGGAAAAAGTCTGGGGAGTTATGTTGGAGATGGCGAAGAAATGCGACCTATGCAGAGGAAAAAAAGAATGGATTCGAGATATCTTCCTAAAACATTTTTAAGACCTTTGAAACCCGAAAGAAACTTTCAACAGAACAAAAACTTTAACATCTATTGAAGCCCTGAACGTAGCCTCGATTGACGAAACGGGAATCTGTCATCATGCTAAACTGACAAACAATTTCAAGCGTGCATGTGCTATACAATATAAATCTAAAAATAAGCATCGGGATTTTACAAAGAGTGTCCACGTTAGCAATAAATAAGGAGAATTGTTGTATAAAATGAAGCGGTAAGTTTGAAAAACTTTAAAATAGACACTATCTTTACCTCATGAAAACTCGAAAAACAGTTTACCAAAAATTTCGAATCCAGAAGAAACACTTGTAAGTATTCTCGATAGTCAAGAAATCCTAAATACCGCGTTTGTAAATCGCTCGGATCAGCCTGTTGTAGATAACCATGTACATAAAAAGTTTTTTTGACGTAAGTAACGCAAGGTCAGTTTTTAAAGACGTCCTAGCGGCGTGAGCTTGAGCATTCAAAAAATGGTGCCTTACTCCCACCGATTTGATTTTACTACCGGATATTTCAAGAAAAAAAAGAATTGGTAAATGAGCAGAGAAAAATGAAGTCGACAACCAATTTTGCTGGAATTCAGCCAAACATTTTCGTCAAAAAAGAATTTGGGAAAAATTTTATGAAACGCCCAAATAGAATCCACGATAGCTGTAAAAGTAGGTTATCGCATCCATTTTAAATTTGTGTAATTTGAAATTGCAAATTGGCGATATTTATCACCACTGTTCAGAACTTGTTACGTCAGATATTCTCCGTTGGATTATTCCTAATTTAACTACTCAATTTTTTTTATCTCAAAATTTACTTTTTTTTGGTTCAATTTCATTAAAATCTTTTATGGGCTCTAACATTGTTAATAATGCAAAAGTAATTTAAGAAAATGGCATAGAGACGAAGCTGAATTTCTTCTACCGATATATCTGTAATCTTTTTGAAACATGACATCTGAAAAAAGGTCTGAGCATAAAAAAAGCCGCGAGTCAACTAAAGTCCGTAAAGCCTAAATAATTGCTCGGTTTAAACAATTTCTTCAACAACAACATGCATTCCCGGCATACCGAAGAAGATAACGTCTCTATACCACTGTCAAGGCACTAGAAGAAAAAAGGGAGCAAGATACCACTTGATAGGGATTCTTTTCCAACCGTTTTATGAAGATTCCACACCTCCAACAGATCGTTGGACAGCAAATTGTGTTTAACATACGTCCTGAGAACGGCATCATTTAAAATACATCACGAGGACAATCCAGGATTGTTTGGTATGATTTTTTTCCAAATGTGTGTGTGGGGTGGGGGCATATATTAAAAGAATGATATACTTTAGTGGAAAGAACTGTTCAGATTACATCGAAGCAGTTAAAAACCTTGAATTTTTGTTATCTGCAAAACATTCACCGGACTCAATTTACGCAAACGAAGAACTGAAATAAGTTTTCGCTGGTCCACTGGATTCGAATAGAGGGGCTCTTTCAAATATATTGTCTTATAAACAGAATGATTTTCGAAGTTATCTTCGGCTAAAGTTTATTCAAGTTTTTCTTCAAAAAAATTATTGGCATTTTAAATGATTACATTCTTTTACAAGGAATTTCAAATTCAATCAGTCTACCTTGCTTCATGTTTTACCGGCTCCGATTTTAAATAATTTTTTAATTCAAAGAGTGAAAAAAAGTTTGTTTTCTAGCGGAAAACCTGTACATACCGTTGAATCGAAATGCCACACTATGTCAACCGAAACACCAAAAAGTGCTTTACTCGATTTTTTTTTAAATTATTTTGAATCTTCGGAGCACAACCTAATTGCAAATAAAGTGCTTTAATTCCAAAAAAAACCTTTCAATACTCTTTGGAAAAATCTAATCTGTCAGAAAACAAAAAAATCATTTTGCACACCGGAAAGTCAATTTTGTCAAAAGAGAGAGCTTTCGATTGGGTCGCGGACAACAGAATCGAAGATAGACCCTTGCTACACCGTCGGAAAATAAGAACAGACAACCGGAAGAGAAGGGATACGAAACAGACCCAAATCCAACCTCTCCACAGAATCTCAATTCTTTGAAAAGCCAATCAATTACCAACTGGATACCGCTTACTAGGCCTAGCACTGTCAAAAAAGTTAAAACTTTTCGGGCGGTTTTAGATCGACAGAACAAGGAACCCTTGAGCCGACTCTTGAACATAAAAACTATACAGTAAAATTAACCAGTCACGATTTATGATAACTCATCCAAAAGACGAAAGTTTGTGAAGGTAGCATGATTTAAAATTCTTCTATAAAATAGACTTGATGACTTCGAAGAAACGACGACTGGCTTGAGAAAACCAGCGAGTGGGCTTCACTCCGTCGGAAATTTCGAAAAATTGCCAAGGACCACCAAAACAAACGGAACAAAAACCAGATATCAATTCTGAGAAATAAACGAAAGAAAAGTTCTCCTGTTTATTTGAAGTGAACAATTTTTACACCATTTTCTTGATGTATCTAACGACTGGCTCTAATTGGTTACATCATTTCAAAGTATACCCTCAAGCAAATTTATCAAATGCAGTTCTTTTTTTAGAAAGTTTTGAACTTTAGCACTTGTAGTTTTGTTTTGCGCTTTGGGAAAAATTTTACTCAAGGTTGGTCAATCAAAATCGGGGGGTGTCGTAAAGTAGCACCAAAGGGGAACCTACCTTTTGGATAGTCCCCGCCCCCATCCCCCCAACCAACCTAAATCCGCTGCGCCTAAACTACAAATGTTTTTTTTGTATCTATGATGACCCATAGAGTGAGGAGACACATCTATATTAAGATTAGCAATTGATGGAACACATCAGATTCATAACCGATAATTGACAGATGGTGTACAGAACGGGATCCTTCCCATGGCTTAAGGCCACCTGTCAAACTATCAATGGTGTAACGCAAATTATTTATCGATGTTCTTCAACTGTAATCTAGTTCATTTAGCTACTCTTTAAATTGGACTACCCTGAAATTTTCTTTTTTTTCGGCAGATTGGCCTCGCAATATGTAAAACTGAGTTTAACCTTTTTAAAATCGTTTTTTAACTCTTCGAGTGTGCCTGTTTTGATCTAGATTCTAACCAATCTAGAAGTAGAAAATACGTGTGCATTTGAAGTATCGCCCATTTAGAATATTTTTATTAAAAAACACTCCTTTTGTAAAAATAGGATTGGTAATTATTTCCTGTTTTGGAAACACGTCTAAATCACTTCTTTTGTGAGAGGAGGATTGGAAAATATAGCTTCTTTTGAGACCAAGTTAAAATGGGAGAAGCTAGAATATTTATGATTTTGACTGTTTTAAGGTAACTTCGATTAGCAATTTTGATAGCATTTGCTAATCGCAAAGCGAAAAACATTGAATTTTCTCTGCAGGTTATGGTGCTACTAAGGGAACAACGGGACAATTGGGCAAGTCCTCTGGACTGTCCAACAGACATTCGTACCACTACAACCCCCAAGCACATCACACCACCTACCACTACGATCTGCAACAACAGCAACCACAAAAACAACACCCATACTGCAATTTGCCACAAGCACCCCTCAACCACAACGCACTGCTCATGAACAGTGGTGCGGTATCGATCAAAGGGGTCGGAGGTAGAGGGGTTGACAACAACACCAAACATTCCACCTCTTCGTCCACTTCGTCTTCAGGGAAGCCACTCAAAACCAGCTCCTCCGCCAGTCAGGTGTTGCACTAGCCATCAAATCTTTCTTCTCTTTCCTCAAACTTGCTTCATTTGCTGCTTCAAGTGCAGACAAGTAAGTTTCAATTGCATATGTAGTGGCCATGGCGAAAATTTACCAGTGGCCATAACGGCCTCACGATTCTATAATGAACTTCAAAAAAAGTATTTTGAAAGAAAACGATTTTCCAGCCTGTCTATGGACTAAAGATGAAAACAACCGCCATTTACTATCTATGACACTGGATCTGATGAATTCAATTGACTGCCAGAGTAAACTGTACTTTTGAAGATACTTAGATGTTCTAAAATGCGATATAACTACAAATACCTCAACTTTAACTCGCTATTTAAACTATAAAGCTAAAAAATTTAATTTATTTGTGAATCAGATTCAATGCTGCAATGATACTTACTACTTTTTGCAATTCAATTCCAAAAATTAATTCAACCCAAATTTAATTTGTTAATTTTCTACTTGTTCTGTCTAATGGAATATGTAAATTTAGCCTAATGTGTTTCTCTCGACGCGAAAATAGATAAAAACGGATTTAAAAAATCAGCAAATTTTACCAAGTAAATCGACCATACATTGTCAATGTATTGTCCAAATCGACCGCAATTGCCAATCATCAGTCCAAATTTGCAGTTTTCAAAAGCTCATCCATTTAAACAAAACATCAAAAGTTAGTATTTTTTGAGCTCTAACCATTAAGATCTTTAATACTTGATGTATTACAATATATGACAGGTTAACTTTCTGCGAAAGCCAAACCGTACCTCTGTGTCTTTAATGTTGTACCATCCAGTCTGTGAAAAGCGATAGAAACAAAAACGTACCCAGAAAAGATCCAAAAAAAAGACTACTTTTACTTGCAGATGAACCGACAAATCGAAAAATTAAAATCTTCAAAACACTGTTTACAAAACCCCAAACCTTAAAACCAAATTACTTGCAAATTTGGAAACTTTACAAACAGAGGTGAATCAAAGCTTCGCACTACTTGTGACACGACACATGCAAAGCATGACAAACTAAACCGACAGAAATACCATAGAAAAACGTCAAAGTTCTTTTGAAAAGAATTGAAAATTATCTATCAAAACTTTACCTACATTTGTTTTAATTTTATCTTGAAAAAAAATTCCTTTAAAAAGATATGGCAAAAGATAAGACAATTGATTTTCAATAAGCATCGAAACAAACCTTACAAATTGGCAGCAAAGCCGACGAATCTTGTGCAGACAACCTTGCATAGAAAAAAATGTTTTCATTATAAAAACAAAAAACAACTTCAAGTCTCCCTGAAAACATTTAAAGAAAACCTTTTTGCTCCTCAAACGATTCACAAAGACGACTCCGAGCCAATATATTATAAGCTGAAACCCTTCATGTCGAATGAAGAGAAGAAGAAGAAAAAAGATTTACTGAAATCGGAGTTGGTAAATTTACACAAAAATAAATTTAAACAAAACCCTTGCTAATCGCAAGGGTAAATAAAACCAACGCTTAATTTGCAGACAGAGTATAGATCGAGAATAGCAAAATTTCAGTAATCCTGTGAAACCATTTGCTTACGGAAAAAGTCTACCCGATCGATTGCAACACCAATCAACCAATTCAGTATACGCCAATTCAGTATTCAGGCTAACATATCTGATTCATGACCCAGAGACACCATTACGAGGCCAAACTGTGCACTGGAGAGGCGCACAATTTTGTGTCTGTATGTTCCTGGATTCCAGAGACAAGTCTTCAAACATATTAAAAACTTTGTCGGAAAGATCAAAGAAAATGAAAGAACAGAAGAATAAAGGGATCGTCCTTGCTGCGGAATCCGCTCACAATTTTCAAAATGCACAGTTTGGAATCTTAATGACGGGTTCGAATCGCGATGAGAACCAATTGTTTCTTGGTTGACTTAATTCTGATTTGTATTTGACACTTTATTCTAATATTTCATCCTTTAATTTTGTACGAAACAATTTGTCAAAAACCGTTCACCACAAAAAAAGTTGTATCTTTACAAACTCAAGACAATGCTTAAAGAAGTCTGAAAAGAAAATGAGCCGTAAAAATAATGAGATTTGGTTGGAAAATGTTTTTAACCCACGGACATCCAAACTGCGAGTCATTTTCCTTCACTACTAACCCAACCGCCTAGCTGCACGATTAAATAGCACATTTTATAGTACCTGCCAGGCAGCAATGATTGTTTTGAAAACGCAGACAAGCTTCTAAATTGCATGCCAATTACAAATCAAGCACTTTAAAGATATACTAAAAACTAGCAGAAAACTAGCGTTTAACGCACCGTCGCTGCTTCGAAATTTTTCGACAACTCATGAAAAACCGCATATATAAGAAACAACATCTGCAAACTTTCAGTGTACTCTGACTGCACCCAATTACAGGGTTGGTAATTTCGAACTTAAAAATTTTTTTAAATCCCATTTTAAAAGCGTCATCACGAAAACTTAATGGGCCTCTGGAGAAAATTGGCGGCCAGATTTTCAACCTCGGAGAGTCCCTGAGAGCAACCTACTATAGGGTTAGGAATCCAAAATTTGTGAATTTTTTTAAACCTAAGTTTCCCGAAAAAAAAATTGAAAAAAAAAACGTCTTATCTCGGAAACTGAAAGGATTTGAGCATTCATTTTAAGAGGCAAGATTTGAGACACCTGGGTATACGCTGACAATAAGGTTGTATCTTCATCAAGTTAGTAGTTTCAAATTTTTTGAATTTCTTTGTAGATAAGTTCTTTTAGAAATTTTTAAAAAATCACAAAAAAACGTCATATCTCGAAAACTACATAACAATTGAGCAGTCATATTTGGAGGCAAGATTCGCAATCTTTGAGATTACTGTGACAGGACAAAACTACAGGGTTGGGAATATCAGATTTTGTGAAAAAAAAATAATATCAGTTTTCTGAAAATTTTTTGAAAAAATCACAGAAAACATCATATCTCAAAAACTACAAAGAATTAAGCAGTCATACTTGGAGGCAAGATTCGCAATCTTTGATAGTACTCTGACAGCACCCAACTACATGGTTTGGAACTTCAATTTTGCAAATTATTTTGTTATTTGAAATTTTAAAAAAATTTTAAAAAAATTTCAAAAATCGTCTTACCTCGTTAACTAAAATGATTCGGGCATGTAAAATTGGAGGCCAAATTCGCAACCCCTAATTCGATACTGGGCTGCTTAATTCACACTCGGTAATATAATCACTAAAATCAAATTGGAAAATCGAAAAAAAATTCTTAACCATTGCAATATACGATATAGCTTAAACATACAAAAATAATACGTTGAAAAAGCTTAAACATGGCGAGATAGTGAAGCCCGCATTTAAAGATTTAATAGATAGATTGGGCTGCTTAATTCAAACTCGGAAATATAACCACTAAAATCAAATTGGAAAATCGAAAAAAAAATCTTAACCAGTGCAATATACGATATAGCTTAAACATGCAAAAATAATACGTTGGAAAAGCTTAAACAAGGCGACATAGTGAAGCCCGCATTTAAAGATATAATAGATAGATTGGGCTGCTTAATTCAAACTCGGTAATATAACCACTAAAATCAAATTGGAAAATCGAAAAAAAAATTTTAACCATTGCAATATACGATATAGCTTAAACATGCAAAAATAATACGTTGAAAAAGCTTAAACATGGCGAGATAGTGAAGCCCGCATTTAAAGATATAATAGATAGATAGATTGGGCTGCTTAATTCAAACTCGGTAATATAACCACTAAAATCAAATTGGAAAATCGAAAAAAAAATCTTAACCATTGCAATATACGATATAGCTTAAACATGCAAAAATAATACGTTGAAAAAGCTTAAACATGGCGAGATAGTGAAGCCCGCATTTGAAGATTTAATAGATAGATTGGGCTGCTTAATTCAAACTCGGTAATATAACCACTAAAATCAAATTGGAAAATCGAAAAAAAATTCTTAACCATTGCATTATACGATATAGCTTAAACATGCAAAAATAATACGTTGAAAAAGCTTAAACATGGCGAGATAGTGAAGGCCGCATTTAAAGATATAATAGATAGATAGATTGGGCTGCTTAATTCAAACTCGGTAATATAACCACTAAAATCAAATTGGAAAATCGAAAAAAAAATCTTAACCATTGCAATATACGATATAGCTTAAACTTACAAAAATAATACGTTGAAAAAGCTTAAACATGGCGAGATAGTGAAGCCCGCATTTAAAGATTTAATAGATAGATTGGGCTGCTTAATTCAAACTCGGAAATATAACCACTAAAATCAAATTGGAAAATCGAAAAAAAAATCTTAACCAGTGCAATATACGATATAGCTTAAGCATGCAAAAACAATACGTTGAAAAAGCTTAAACAAGGCGACATAGTGAAGCCCGCATTTGAGGATATAATAGATAGATTGGGCTGCTTAATTCAAACTCGGTAATATAACCACTAAAATCAAATTGGAAAATCGAAAAAAAATTCTTAACCATTGCAATATACGATATAGCTTAAACATGCAAAAATAATACGTTGAAAAAGCTTAAACATGGCGAGATAGTGAAGCCCGCATTTAGAGATATAATAGATAGATAGATTGGGCTGCTTAATTCAAACTCGGTAATATAACCACTAAAATCAAATTGGAAAATCGAAAAAAAAATCTTAACCATTGCAATATACGATATAGCTTAAACATGCAAAAATAATACGTTGAAAAAGCTTAAACATGGCGAGATAGTGAAGCCCGCATTTAAAGATATAAAAGATAAATTGGGCTGCTTAATTCAAACTCGGTAATATAACCACTAAAATCAAATTGGAAAATCGAAAAAAAATTCATAACCATTGCAATATACGATTTAGCTTAAACATGCAAAAATAATACGTTGAAAAAGCTTAAACATGGCGAGATAGTGAAGCCCGCATTTAAAGATATAATAGATAGATAGATTGGGCTGCTTAATTCAAACTCGGTAATATAACCACTAAAATCAAATTGGAAAATCGAAAAAAAAATTTTAACCATTGCAATATACGATATAGCTTAAACATGCAAAAATAATACGTTGAAAAAGCTTAAACATGGCGAGATAGTGAAGCCCGCATTTAAAGATATAATAGATAGATTGGGCTGCTTAATTCAAACTCGGTAATATAACCACTAAAATCAAATTGGAAAATCGAAAAAAAATTCTTAACCATTGCAATATACGATATAGCTTAAACATGCAAAAATAATACGTTGAAAAAGCTTAAACATGGCGAGATAGTGAAGCCCGCATTTAAAGATATAATAGATGTACAATTTATGTTGGAAAACGTAAACACGTATTATAACACAAGGGATCTTAACTGTTTAACACAGAGGCGAAGCTGAGCTTGGCAACACTTGCGATTCATCTAGAGCTATCAAAATG